GGCCGTGACTTGGCGGGCGCGTGCCGTGCCCGGCGGCGGGAGGCCTGCTTGCCGCCGTGCTTCCCTGCGCCGCCAGGGCTCGCGCCGGGCGCCTTTCCTTCCCGGGCGGCCGTGCACGCCTGCCGCTCCCCTGCGCTGCTCGCGGGGTTTCCGCCGCCGCAGGTTTCCCTTCGCGTTTCACACCTCAGACCGCAGGCGCCGCCGCCGCCGACGACGACTTTCACCGCGTTGGACGCCGACGCCGTGGCGGCCGCACGGCCGCCGCGCTCAGCCCTAGCCCGGCCTCGCTGTCTGCTGGGCGGCTGCGAGCTGCCCGTGGCCACAGGGGCTGCTGGTGGCAGCGGCGTCTCGGTTCCTGCCAATCTTCCTCCTTCCGAGCCCTCACACAGGCGACAACTACGGGCTTGAGTGAGCCGCCGGGTTTCCCTGGCTTGTGACACCGCTCGCTGCCGTTCGGCGGGGCGGCCCCGGGCGCTCTGGGGCTGCCCCACAGCGCTCGAGGGGCCCTCGGCTGCCGCGGGGCTGCCGCGGAGCTCGGGGCGCAGCAGCGCGCAGTTGGCGCCCTCGCGACGTTTGCAATACCCAACAATCCGGGACGTTGTTTAGAAATTTATTAGCAATTTTAAAATAACATCATTCCTTAGATAAAAATGCAATCTTACAGGAATATACATTTGTCCCCCACAGAGGTGACCCTATAGCTCTCAGTTGCGGGCCACTCGCTCCAGCTTTCCTCTGTCGATTTTAAAACGTGCGAGAGGGCAAGACGGACTCTGGCACTGATGACAGGCTTACAGCATGGTTACAAACTGTACAGCATTATTTACAAAAGCATTTCTGTGGGTTCATGAAAACTAGATATAAAACTGTGGAAAGAGGTAAAGAATCGCGAGAGGGTGAAGGTACGGGAGGGAGCAGGAGTGTAGGGAAGAGTGGGAGAGGAGGTTTCTATCTGGGCTGATTTATACTTGAGAAAGGTAATTTTACAGCTCTGGGCAATTCGGATGAAGGCAAAACACTTTTATATTTATCAACATCTGTAGCTGATGGTCAGCGCAGGGAATGATGCTCCCAGGCCTGAACTGAAGAGGTGCTGAGGATCCTCATCCTCCCCGCGGTCCCCGGGAAACACAGGGCCCTGCGGGACAGACCCCATCCCTGCAACACTTGGGTCCTGCCGTGCTCAGTCACGGTGCTGATGCAGAGTCAGGCTGAGAGAGAGATCAGCTCCTAAAACACCTTTTCATCTCTGGCGCTGGACCTGTTTCTGCTTGCCAGAATTCACCCAAAGCAACTTATCCCTAGGTCTACCGAGTGGCAATCGCTTGGAGGGAGATTTCGTCATTCAGAATTGTTTTTTTAAGGCAGTTTTAAAAGAATCTCCCCCTTTTTGTGTGTGTGATGCAGCAATGTTTTTCAAACAGATATTTACAATCTCACTCCTCCTCCGAAACCTTCCCACATTCAAACTGTCAAGACTGAGTAATCCTGAACCAGTCACTTTTACGAGCGACCATGAAGTTGATGATGTTTAGGTAGTATTGGTTACCAGTCTGAATGAGACATGAATAGACTGGTTTAGAATGCTTAAAATATTAAAAACATGACAGTCTGTATGAGAAAAAGCTTGCATTTTGCCTTACTGGACAAAATGCAGAGCAGGGCAGAGAAACACGGGTAATTCAGCATGTGAATGATGAGGTTGGTGGAGGAAGGGTGTCCGAGGTTGCGGCTCCGCTTCGAATGGGAAGATGCTTTGGGAAGGACCTGGCAGAGAAACCTGCTATTGGACTAGCTCAGGCCAGGCCTTGCCTGGGCTCGCGGGGCTGGGAATGCCAAGGGCTGGGCAGAGTGAGGGGAACTGTGGGAGCGCCGGTTGCCTGCGTGGCATGGGAATGGGGAGATGGGCTCCAGATAGCGCCTAGCTAAGCCCTTGGGGACGCCCAAGCCGATTCCACCGTAACGCCGGTCACTGGTGCTGCTCCTCCCATTTAGCCCTTTGGAAAAGGGCTCGATGGAGCTGCCTCGGTGCGTGCCGCCACGCGAGAGCTGCGCAGCCCCACGCGCTGGGGGACGCGGCCCAGGACACCGCAGGGCGTCTCGCAGGGCGGCCCCTGCCTGCGCTCGGGCAGCCGGATCGCGCCCCTCAGGAAGGCCTGTTGGTTTCCTCCTTATGCTCAAGTGTTAACAGCCAGGGCAAGCTCCCCATAAAGGGGCGGGAAGAATGGAGGGTTTAACCAGGACGCTGAAGTCTGCAGAAGAGGAGGGGTCATTTTTCCATTCCGCTGTGAGGCTACTGACTTCTCCCGTGTGGGTTCAGGCCCTATGGCCCTGCTGAGCTGGCGCCCTGGCCCAGCCCAGCGCCGAGTGCCGTGGCAGCAAAGCCCTTGGGCTTTGGCAAAATGGGAGGGTAAAATGCTCGGGAATGGGATCCCCTCTGGATCCCTGGGCTTGCTACCCCAGAATAAGACTTTATTAACCTTGCAACATTCAGAAGAAGAGAAAATGAAACCTTACGCAGCCATTTGTTATTTGAAATTGGTATTTGCTAGTCATCCTTAAAGAAGAAAATAAATGGGGAAAAATAATCAATTTTTCCTGGGCCCAGTTCTGATTTCCATGTTTCTTTGCACCAGTAAAGCCTCCAGCGTCCTCGTTTCAGCTCATCCTTGCGTTAGCGAGATGGGAGCTGGGGCTTCTCCTGGCCTGGAATGAAGCGCTTCCCTATCCTCCACGCTACAGTCTCGGCTATGGGGCCTGCTCACAGCCCACCACGAGCAGGAGCCCCCAGCGGCTCCTCGCCGTTTCACCAACTTGGTTGTGCTCCTTATTCCCCTCCCAGGCTGCTCTCCCCACCCTGCCCCTGCTGCGGGGACGCTCGCGACACCGCGTGTGCATCCGAGGACAGCCCCCTTCGCGCCCCCCGCGGCTGCCCCTCGCTTCAGCTCGCTGGGCCCGCGCCTTGGCTTTGCTCACCCACACGTGAAGCGAGGCCTCCGCCTGCACCTCCAGCACGGGTCCACGGGCACCCGCTGTGACCGTGTCCGTGTGCAAACGCGTGTGCATTTCATCCAGCCACCTGGAACTGGCAGGCAGAAAAGACACAGGAGCCTGGCTGAGACCCATACAACTGTTATATTGGCGTCAGTCTAAAGAAAGCAATGATACATTGCTTTGGAAATTATCAAGAAATGTAAAAAATGCATTTGCCCTTTTTTTGTTGTTGTTGTTGTCGTCATCGTCGTCATCGTCATCAGGGGGACGGGGTTCTGAGTCAGAAAACAAAGCAGAAAGAGATGCGGATCTGTACACGGCGCCGCTCCGGCCGCCCCTCCGCGCTGGGGCACGGCGGGCAGGGCAACGGAGCAGGCAGGAGCCCTGCAGTAGCAGCAGCATCTGCACCATCCCCACTCACATGTCCAGCTGAAGGGGCAGATGATGCAGCAAGGTCTGTGGATAACAAAACTCCAGCTCTGGATCACGAGTTCCACATTTTTTTTCCCCCCCCCCCCCCGCCCCCGGTCACATCAGCCACAAAATAAGGAAGAAAAAAGAACTGCACCCGGCGTGGCTGGCCCACGGCTGCCTGGAATAACGAGCAGGAGTGATAAGAGGGAGGAGGTTTGTTGTTTTGCTTTGCAGGAAACATCTCTCATCCGCAGCAGACTCTGGGCACGTCGGAGACTCTCCGTGACCAACAGCAGATCCATCTCGCCGCTCTCCTCTTCCTTCCTCAGCCGTCGGCTCCCTTGACGTTCCCATCGAGAGCACGGGGACTCTGTGCTGTACCCGCCGTGCGCTCGCTCCCCTGCGCAGGGAAGGACGGGCGCTCTGGGCACCAAACCTGCGCCCGCTTCCCACCGTCCCCTGGACGCCACCTCACCTAAAGGAGGCAGTAGCTCTTTGCTCGGGCCTGGCACAGTAGGCACACGGGAAGTACCTCAAATTAAAACGAAAGGGGGGGGAAAGAAAAGCTACCCTCCCCAGAAATTTGCACAGCTGGCACCAGCAATCGCTAAATCTAGGACCTGCCCTTCAAATGGTGAAGTTCACCTCATACTTTCTCTCTGCAGGACTCTGAGAGCCTTCAGCGGAGGGCAGGGATCTCCCTGTGGGCTCTGACCCCTGAGGGAGTCAGTTGTAAAAAAGGAAATATATGGGGTATAATCCTATAATCCTTCCCATTACAAAAAAAAAAAAAAAGATTCTATAGGTGACATGCACCATCGGACACCCCAAATTCCCACTGCTTCCCCTAGCCTGGACCAGTACTTTGCTTCTCAGGAGGAGAGAACACCTCCATCTCCTGCTGAGAGAACCACATGAACCTTCTAGAGAGAAAACATGAGATTGGGGACCCTTAAACCGCTTTCTGATACCTTAAAACGGAGCCAGGCCCAGCAGTGTTGCCTTTCCAGCAGCCTCGGAGCCCTTTGGCTGTAGCCAAAGCCAATGGCCCAAGGGACAGACGCTCGCAGGCCCATCTCGAGCTGCAGCGGATGGGAGGGACGGCGCTGACTGACGTCAGGGGCAGCTTTCTCCAGGGAAGGCTTGAAATAGGACTTGGAGGCCAGATGGCTGATTAAGTGGATTCCCATGTCTCTGGCTTAAAAGGCTTTGTTTGCAAGATGTCTTGAGCTGCTACGGGCCAGTGCATAATTACACTGAAAAAAGTTCACTGTCAAAAATACCCTTCGCTATTTTTGCTGTAGGGCCCCAGCAGAGCCAGGAAACAAAACAAGGGTGTTACAAAACCAACATAATCAACGTATACAATAACGATGTTCTCAAACATCTGCAGAAGTTCAAGATTTGAATGAAAATTTAGTTCTGAGTCAGATCACAGCTCGAAACTCAGCACTGATCTGCAATTTGTGAAGCAGCTCTTGCGAAGGGAGGATAAGAAGCGGCAGCAGCCTAAACAAAACCCACCTGCATAAAACCTATGACACCTCTGTGTTTTCTCAGCCTCTTTCAGTGGCTAGGGCCTCCAGCCAGCGCGAGGAGAATGGAGAGAGGTTCACATACACGGGCAGGGAAACACGGCTGCGATACTGGTGACTTAGACTAAGGTCTGGGAAGAGATGCTCCATAGGGACTCACAAACACGGTTCGGGTCAGCTTTCCAGAGCAGCTCTGAGGAGCTCCTTCCCTCACCTTCCCCAGGCTCTCAGGCCAGGGCCACCCAATTCCACGTTGCTGATCCTTCTGCCTCCTTCATTTACACATCCCAGCATCCCTATCACTATCAACGAGGGTTAGCTATTTAACAAAAGAGATCTGAAAGTAGAATTTTTCCCTTCCTCCGCGGATTGCTGGTGCCAGCTGAATACGGAGAACGGATCTGCCAAATTGGTTTGGGGGTCTTGGCACCCTCTAGTGGGAAGAGACTTTAGAGAAACTGAGAGAACCGAAAGAGAAGGAAGCCGGAATAAAACGCCCCAGTCTTGGGAAGAAAGATTCGCTACCAATAAAGTCATCGTGCACGTTTAAAGGGAGTGAGGAAAAAGGAAAATGAACACAAGATATGCAAAATCAGTAACGTTCAACCTGTCAGTGGATTGCAGAATAGTTACTTACACCAGATACACTTTGTTCATTGTACAAATTAAAAAGGAAAAACAAAACGAAACAAAAGAGTTCCCCTTTTTCCCAACCACACGTAGAAAAGCACTTAAAAGTCCAAAGGTAAAGCTTGGCACATTCCAAATACGAAATGATTCACTTGACATGCAGCAAAATATACAAGAAGTGATTCTTTTTTTTTCTTTTTCTTTTTCTTTTAAACAAACTTAATTCAATTCATTATATTTGCTTGGCACAATTGCAATTCATTTTAAAAAAATATTTGAAAAATACTGAAACGGACCTGAATTCAAGTATAACGGTTTCTTCGACAGAAACATTATCAATGCAAGAGAACATCACACGGAATATATCGAAGCATAACGCCTTCTGTGTTTTGTTTCCCCCCACCCCCATAATTATTATTTTTTTTCTCTATACAGTTTTAATGCCAGCACAACTTACAACCGTATTTTCAAAATCAATATTATTGCATTGTTTTTGCATATCTTGTGGAACAGAAAATGCAAAGAGTTACTGATTCCCCCTCTCAGAAGCAGAGACAGTGGTTTGTTTTTGCATCCGCGTGGCCCCATGCGCAGCTCTCCCGCGGTCCGACCGGGATGCGGGGAACTGACACACACACCGGCTCGCGCGCCCACTCGCTCAGCGTTGCTCCCACGCTCGCAGCGCTCCTTAGCGCTAGAAAGAACCCAACTCAGTCGCTCCAATGTGCAAGACTATATTAAGTGCATCGCCTACTACCTTTAAATTAGAAAACAACAACAAAAAAAGGAGGTTTCCATTGCTAGCAAATAAAATTACAAATTCTCGGTGTACATAATGTTTGGTAAAACGCGCCTATCGTACTTCTACCAAATTTCGATGGAGAAAAATAAAACCCCAGTTTAAATAATACAACATGATCAAACCAATTTAACATTTGCAAAGGTGAAAATAAACCAAACCAAAAAAAAAAAAAAAAAAGGTAGGTGATTACAAAACTTTGTAAACACTCCCTTCTCCCTCCAAAAAAAAAAAAATTAATAATAAAATAGTCAAAATAAAAACTGCAACATGCTTTCAAGAAAATATCAAACTGCAAAACAAGGAGAGATCTACACAAGCCCATGGCCACCTCGGCAAGTACCGGCCATGTACTTGGCCGCAGAGCCTGCTCCCCGCTCTCCCAGCGGCTGGCTGCCCGAGCTCGGATTGGCTGGCAAGGGGCTGCCCGAGCTCGGATTGGCTGGCAGGTGTGGCTGCCGGAGCTCGGATTGGCTGGCAGGTGTGGCTGCCGGAGCTTGGATTGGCTGGCAGGCGGGGCTGCCGGAGCTCGGATTGGCTGGCAGGCGGGGCTGCCGGAGCTCGGATTGGCTGGCAGGCAGGGCTGCCAGAGCTCGGATTGGCTGGCAGGCGGGGCTGCCCGAGCTCGGATTGGCTGGCAGGGAGCGCTGCCTGGGCGTCTCTGCGGGTGGGCTTGGCAGCCTGTCCCTCGGGCGCCCCCGGGGCTTCTTCTGCTTCCTCCTGCCGGCGCGGTGCTGGGATCCACAGCAGAAGAAGTCCTCCTCCCGCTCCGAACGCAAGGGCCTTGGCTTTATGGAGACGGCGAGGCTCGTACAGAATATGTGCAAAATGGTTTTTACAAGCAAAATTGAGAGACACCCGTTTGGCGCAGGGTCCTTTTGGCTAGGGCCATCCGCAGGAAGCTGAGGTTCCCCTCTGCACTCGGGAGGCAGTCGTCGTTCCTTGTGCAGGGACCGAAAAAAAGAGGGAGCTGGCTCTCCTCCTCTTCCTCCTCCTCCTCCTCACTCTTCCTTCATGGACACGTGCTGGGGTTATATCCGCTCCTGAAAAGCTTTCTTACACCACCCAACTCTGCGACTCGTCCCAACAGAAATGAATGAAGAACGCTGTTCCGGTTACTCCAGGTCACGAGAACAGTGAGGCACTTCTGAAACAAACCCATTAGGAACATTGAAACAAATAAAAAACCAGCATCGCTTCCAGCCCTGGCAACTACAGGCTGCTGATATAAATCCTGCTGTCCTTGAGCTCCTCCTGACTTTTTCTACAATCCGGGTTCTGCACCTCTTCCTCTTCCTCTCCTGCACTGTCCTGCCCTGGGTCCCTGCAGTTAACAAAAGGCAAGAGGTTGCCATTGGGGCTCTGCTTGCTGTTACCATTGAGAATGTTGTCTGCTGCATTTTCCATCTCTTCTATCGTCATGTCACAGGCGTCTGCGAGCTCCTGGGTTGTGACCTCAATGAACTTTGGATCTTGAGCAAACTGCACCAGTCCTTCCGAAATCAAGACCTTCAAAAGCAGGCAGGGAACCAGAGGCAAAGACAAACATTAGTAATCTGCACCGTCAGTCTCATGGCACCCCAATCCCAACCCTCTTCCCTGCTATATTTTCCCTAATAATTATATATATTTTCTCCTCCCATTCATGCTGCTAACCCCTCCTGGGAAACGGTCTTTTCCCCCTCTGGGCTTTGTGAGCAGCAATATACGTCTTGGCTTATTCCTGCTCTTCCGAGGGCCACGTTTCAAGGTGTCCTCGACACTGCCCCTGTCCCGGCTGGCTCCACAGTCTTACCGCTTCCACCAGGCTGCCCGCGCTGCCGTGAAACTGCCTGCTGCTCCCTCCGCTCGGAGCGGGCACGGTGAGGGAGACGGGCCGGGCTCTCCTGGGGCTGCCGCCGCCGCCGCTGCCGTCGGGGTAGCGCGAGCTGCAGTGTACGGACGGGAAGCTGCTGTTGAGTTTCTCGCTGGACTCTGCCCCGTCGAGGCGCAGGGTCGGGATGGGCTGCGGGGGCCAGCCGCGGCTGCAGGGGGTCGCGGGCGGCGTCGCGCACAGGCGGGAGAACGTGGCGGGGGAATGGCTTCGCTGCAGGAGGGGGCTCAGGCCTGCCACTGCCAACGCCTGCGCACACAGGGGGAACAAGGGCGAGTTACCAGCTGGGAGGACATGGTGGAGAAACTACCCAAGAAAGGCTCGGAGGGCCTTGAGCTTTGTGAACACCGCTGCCAGCTCCTGGAATAGTTTAAATGTTGCCTGTGAATGCCTTTTGGAAGCTTTCCTTCAAATGGCGAATCCTGCTTTGGTGCCAAGCTTTCGAGATTGTGGCTCTTCAGCCTCGGGTTCCCACTCCCAGGAGTGATGCGAGCCTTCTCCCCAGAGCCCTGCCACAAACACCACCTCTTCTCCAGCAGGTGGGACAGCAATCCGTTTTACCACCGCTGCTACCACCCACACAGCTATAGCTGTAACTCCCAGTTTGTGTTTTCTGTCGGTAGGTGCTGTAGAACCTGAATAGATGCCATGAGTGAATCTTAGAGATGTCTGCAGTTGGCAAGAATTGTAAATCCACCTCTAGATTTTAAAGCATCTGCTGCTGGTGGGAAGATCCCTATCTGATGAACAGCCCTTTCAATCACCCGGTCCCTCCTGTAGTCAAATGTATAACCCTCGAGCCTTGTATAACCCTTCTAGAACATAAATTTCTCAAGAAACCCCAATTTGCACAGGGCTCTTCTGATGCCTTATTCCTCATGATCACTGCCTTGTTCAAGAGCAGTGCCACCAAAATCAATAGCTAACCTCACAGAGCTCACTACTGCCTAATATGAGCAAAGAAATGCTGACCCATAGAAAATACAAAAGAATGTGGATTTGTGTTGGTGAGAATCCTCGTATTCTGGATGAGGTTCGTCTCACTCAGCTGGAGCTATCTAAAAGCCATGTGTTGAGTGTAACCTTGGTGTTTAGGAAGACACCCAGAGGCATCCTGCCTGCTTTGCATACCTGTCTGAAAATGTCCTCTGGGGGATGAGGCTTATGCTAAGCTTGCACGTCCTCTTTGAGGATGCTCTTTTCCTGAGTACAATGGGACTGAACTGACCAGTTTAGACTAAATAACTTTAGATATCTAAAACAGTTAGCTAAGTGAATTTTAATATAAGTGTTTACCATGGGTTGAAAAAAAAATCAATTATGGGGTCAGTTAGCTCAACAATGTTGATCAAGAATTAATTGTAAGACTCCTATTGACTCTCAATCAGGAGAAAAGCCCTTAAATTCTTCTGTACAGATCATGTCCTACAGGCTCTGATAGCCTCAGCAATTTGCTTAAACTGACTGGACTTCAAGGAGAGCCCTGCCTTAGGAAGAACAACTGAACTAGTTTTTCAGTGGAAATACATACAAGGTACTTTATCCAAATGTAAGGAGATGAGGAAGTTAAAAGAAGCTCTGTGGGACTGCTTCATCTGCATAAATTGACATATCTGTATGTATGAGTATTTAGTGAGAATACTCCTTCAAGCATTCCCAGGCAACAGAATTTATTGCACTTAGCAGGAGCAACCTTTCTTGTTCGTACGCTTGGTTTAAGCACTCTTCTGGGCTAACATCTTTGTAGACACACCGACAACGCTGGATGCTCCCCACCAGAGGCCAGACACTTATTTCAGGACAATCCTGCAGGCTAGCAGAGTGACCCCGTGGTGGGTAGAGCTCCATCCCTCAAGGTTTGGAGCTGTGTGGTGGGATGTGGAAGGCTAAGGTAGGTCCCTCCTCCTCATACCTGCTTCTGCCCTTGGAGGGAGGTGATTCCCAGCTAGCTGGGTGGAAGGAGAGCTTCCTGTCCTCCTGCCTTGCTGTGGGAGGGCAGAAAGCCTCAGGAGGGCTATTATTGCTGTGAGGTGGGCAGGAAGCTGTTCACCACACACAGCTCCCTGCCTCAACATTTCTTCTGGTTGCCCTACAACAGGGATAACTGCTGCTTTATGAAGGTCTATCCTGAAAGGACATCTGGCTGCTGCTGCCAGCATTCAGAGCAGTAAGAAAAGACAGGGAGTTGAAGGCACCGTTCTCTCTCTTCTCTTACTGCTATGACTTCTCTCCTCCTATTGCTAGTTTCTGGTATTTTCTCCCTTACGGCAGCCCAAGGAGGTGGAAAGGCAATTCTGCTCTGCCTGGGGGAGTGTGTGGAGCAGGGTTCCCTGCGTTGGAGGGCTGGCACTACTGTCTGCCCCTCTTTCTCCTATGGTGATAGATTATGGAGGCCGTCAAGCTCAAAGACACAAGTCTACTTTCAACATTGACAGCTGGCTAGATACATGCCTAAGAATACATTTGCTGGGCTGCTGAATGCAGTTAGAGAGAGCTTTAGAAGCTGATTAATTATATGTAATCATTTTTTTTTTAAATGATTAATTACAGTTACTGGTTACCTTTAATTAATATAGAAGTAGACCTTGCACATTTTATTCATATGAGTACTATCATCAAAGCCAGTGTAATTACAGTGCAGTGTGCAATTTGGGTAGTTATTTTTATCTTGACATTTTAGTTAGTTTTTTATTCTTCCCTTTCAAGGACATCAGATAATGGTAACTCGGCTAACTCTGGAGGATATGTTCCTGTAGCATTCTTCAGGGAATGATAAAATCCTAAAAAAGAGGAGTGAGCATGAGGACAAATACAATTTCCAACCTTTAAAATGGGTGAGAAACAATCCCTAAAGGTCTTTAAAAAGTTGGCTGCATTACAGTGGGAGGGCTCTGCAGATGGTAGATCCTCAGTTGCATTGCTGGGCCCTTTGTGGTTATTAAAGCTTACCTGATGGTGTACCAGATGCAAAGGCAGAACTGTCTTCTGTGAGACATCTACACCCTGGTTTTTCTGTCTTTTCAGACACTCTAAGTGAAAAGATGCTCTTCGACCTGAAACACAATCACAGAGAACTGTGTCCATCACTCACACAACACTACACATAATCTGATTTCCATTTGTTCTAGTGCAGTTCCACTCCACTTTGCACTGGAGAGACAGCAAAGATACCCTTACTTTAGGCTTTGTCCATTTTCCCTCAATACCTGTCCCCTTTCAAAAACAGCTGCATTTGCAAAACACAGTCAAGATCCATGGACCAACCAGTGCTCTCTTCCAAGCAAGCTGCAAGATAGCAGCTCTGGAGTTTTCTTTTATTTTTCTCTTTCAAAACACTGTCCTCGTAGATAGCATGCAGCTTATTTCCCTATTAAGCAATAAAAGTGTTTCCAAATCTGCCTGGTCCAGGTAAAACCCTCAAGGGGGCTGGCAATGGCCGTGGATGCTCTGGCCCTGGCTGTAGCCGTGTGGCAACAGGGTGCTCAGCTGCCACTGGCTTCCCACCTTCATGGGGCTTGTTCTTCCCAGGACCACAGTTTATGAGGCTGCATCCATAGCAAGGTCAAGTGGATGTGAATTTATTATTTACACTAGTACTTGAATTCACTGGTGGACAGAAGTTTGGGTATTTAGACATGCAGCATTTCCAGAAATTTGGAAAAAGAAGAGCTCCTTCCTTCCTTTTTTTTTTTTTTTTTTTTTTTTTTTTTTTTTTTTTTAATAAAAAGGATTTTTAGTGAACAGTTAAAATACCCACAGCGCTTATTTGCTTTATTTCTGTAAATATGAGAAATATATTCCTTAAACAGGAATTAAAAAGTACTGCAAGGTATATTACAAACAAATATGCAGGCTGAACAGTAGCAAATTATTGCAAATAAAGCAGAGAGCGGCACAATAAATGGCACAATAAATACGCACTTCTTGGTCCCATTGACATTTCTCTAAAGTAGTAAAGAAAATGAGAATTCTAAAAATAGTAATATCTATATTATTGATCTGTTGAGAAAAGCTCCCCTAGGGGCCTGGAGGGTACGTGTCTTATGATACACAGAACTAATGCCATGATGCAGATTAAAAACAAAAATCTTTCTTGAGCAAACCCTATTTGACATCAATGTATAAATATTCATTGGAATGCAGTTACAGAAGCATTGTATCAAAGTCTGATTGCAAATTTGGCCTTCAGGATGGACATAGGAATTCTTGTTGCCTGCTATTAAGTTTTGAGATAGGGTAAATGTAGTGCAAGCTTTAAGTGAAGATACAGTATCCTCATTTAAACATTTCCCTGCATAGTCTGTCATCGTTTATTTTATAAGAATGTACTCTATTTACAATAGTCTTTTCAGTTCTTGCCTTCACCCTCCATTTTTCCACATGGCACTACTCAGGGAAAAAGGCTGAAAAATACTCTACACTTTCTTTATTTCCTTTCTTTCTTTCTTTCCTACTTATTCTGAAACCTTCATAAATGCTTATGTTGGATTTCACTTGAGCACAGTCTGCACACTCGAGAATAAGGAACACATCCAATTACAATTACAGCAGAAAGCAAATTCTTACAGTTTTAACTTACTCTGAAATTCACTCCTTTCTTCATGACAGCCAAAAACGAAAACCTTTCCTTTCTCCCTCCTGAATACACACACCACAGAATATCATATACCAAAGGCTGGTCCCTCCAGGGGCTCCCTGCTGTTTGGACGATCTACAGCACTCTAATAAACCCTCCTAATTCACATACAGGCTTAATCAAACAGCCCAGATGGATTATCCAAATAACCACTGACAGTCCAAACAGCCACAGCTTCACCTCTTGACTGAGCACGAAGGCAGCACAGGTGCCTGCTGGCCAGGCATCTACACAGTCACAATCTTATAGACTCTGTAAGATTCCTGGTCTCGTGAGCCAAGTGCAATAACACCAACACTCAGGTCCCACACATGATAGGATTTCTCGAGCAAGATGTGAAAATTTAGTCAAGGCAGAGGAGAGCAGAGCCTGCACATCAGCCGGGGACGTTACCTAGTGAGGAGGAGCACAGAAACCCTTTCTTGGGGGAATGCCGGGTGTCCTCTCCTTTGCTGTTTTCTGGTGGAGTCAGTTGTCTATTTTCATCGTCCTGGTAGGAAAGCCTGGAAATAGGAAGAGAGGTATGCTGGAAAAACAGATCATATTGCACCGTAACTCCTCTTCCAGTAGTAAAGCCAAGAAGAACATGTTGTGGGATGGATGCAACTACCCTAGATACCATCTGCCTATAAATGATCCAGGAGCAGTCATAGAGACTGTAAGGCAGCGAAACGCTCTGAAGATAAGATCAGGAGATGTTACAGGTAGAAATGAATGGAAGAGAGGATTTGGACATACCAAATCCAGATATCCCATTGAGAAAAGACGGACAAACAACTAGGAAAATATCCTACAGGGAAAACTGTTTCAATATTATTTCTCAGGGCTGAAATATATTTTTTACTCTCTGATATCTGTGTTATCTGACTCAAATTTTCTGATCTCATGCTAGACATGGATTTGTTTCTGTAGAAAAAATGTCACCTCTTTCTACCTCTATCTCTTTAAAAGCCCCCCAATCACACTGATTAAAGTTGCAAAGCTCACATTTCGGTAGAGATCAGGCTTGGTTCACTGCAGTACTCCATGTCTTCATTCAAATTCTCCTCATAAGTCTCATCCTGAGAAACTTCCTCTTGGCAAACAATTGCCAGCTGGCTGTCTCTGGAACTGGAGCTAATGAGCAAAAAAAAAAAAAAAAAGAAAAAAAAAAAACAAGTTAAGATATGGAGATGGGAAAGAAAACCTGTTATAAAGACAAGTATGACAGGCCCCATCTGTCTCAACTTATTAAAATGGTGCAGAGCTATCATAGAAAAATCAATGACTGAACAGAGCTGCAGCGTCCACAAATAGAAAAGCAACAACTTCTTTTCTGTGTCCTCTTTCTGAAGAAGGCTTCTTAAATCAAGACTGAACAATAGAGTAACAGTGTTCCTGTGACCGTGTTTACTCGCTGGGAATGTGCACATCACACTGACCACATTCCCACAGACTCGCCTCAGTGCAAAATCTGAGCTCTTGGAGATGCATCTTTTTGTCTTGTTGCAAAAGCCTTGCTTAAGATTTCTGAGGAGAAGCCTCCTGGCTATGAGGCTTCCAGCCTACCCACTGCTTGTCCTCTCAGCTGTCACATATGGTTCCTGCCTCCCCGATTCTTTATTCTGTACCACCTCTTCCCTGCCTCCTGCCCACCACGTTCCTGTTCACTGCTGGCTTGTCCAGCTTTGGCCCTGCTTTCCTCATCACTAACTGCAAAGAGCTTCAGTATGGTCGACTCAAATTATTAAGCAGGAGAGCCCTTAATTCCCTGCCTGTTGCCTCCTTGTCCCTGTGGTTTGCGTTCTGGGATCTTATATTTCACTGCACTCTGAGTTTGCGGCTTGTGACGAGTAAACGAAAGCTGAAGGTAGCCTGAATCCTAGAAAAGCCAAAAGGGAGGTAATAGAGCCAATTTGAGTCTGTTACTGATACTCTCAGAGGGCTGTAATGTGGCAGATTTTTTTCATCTTTCAGGGACAGGACAGGAAACATTGTTTTCTCATTTGATTCACTAAAAACACTGGGCGATATGAGGATACACATGGTACAGAGCACTCTGAAGGAGAGTGCTGCAGTAGCCTTCCTGCTGGGATGGGGGTTGCTTAAAACTGCTGAGGTGCAGAGAAAAGAACTTAGCAGGGGGTAGCTCCTCCTGTTCACTAGCCTATGTTCCACCAAACAGTACAGAATTTTTGTATGAACACACCAAGGAACGTTTCCTTGATCGGATTATGTGTAGGTGTGTGAGCCCAGCTCGAAATCTAGGTGATCACACGTCACTGTCTGCCTGTTTTTTTTTTTTTTTTAAAAGAATATTTTCTGCCTTGGGGAGCAATACTTCTTTTTCATCCCTACTGACACCAAAAAGAAGAATCTTCATTCAACATTAGTGGAGATTTGAACAGTCAGTGGGAGGAACAACGGATCTTACGGGGAGGATCACAGCATGAGAGAAGATACCTACCGTCCCAGTGTTTCATAGTAATGCGTCCTAGTTCAAGCAACGTGCCCAGGGAAGCAAGGAGAGAAAAGAACACCACGTTAGCAACGTCTCATCAGCACAAGTCAGCAACCGGTGACAGTAACACATGCTTTGCAACTCCTCCAGTCTCCTTATGGAAGATGAAATACTCCTCTCTCCAGTAATTTTGCACCCACTGATTTTCCACTATCTTATCATATCCTGCCTTTTTTTTTTTTTTCTCCTTTTTTTTATCCTGCTCTGGCAGCATTCCTCCACCTTCTCACACTGCCCCCTGGCTGCACTGAAAGCAAATTTCCAGCTCCCTCCCACTGTTACTGGAAGGGTTAAAAAATACCCAGTGCTAGAACTGTTATTCCTGTGATTTTACTCATCTGCATGCAGGCTTGTGTTTCAGCCTGAAAGCTGTTCAGAGAAAAGGATTTTCCTTGCTTTATGTAGTGCTGCATGCCTGAAATCCTTGCAGCTCTCCTCCCATAATGTCTTTGGTGACCTCTTTATGAATGTGACCCACTGGAAGGAATAAAACAAAAGGCTTCCTTAAAATTCCCTGTCGGGTTCCTTTTTCTTTCAATTACTAGTAGACAAAATATCTCCCTGTGGTGAATGAGGGCTGTATTTGATTCTTATGAAGGTTTCTTCAAGAAAAAGCCCAAGGAGATCAAGTGTGCTGGTCAGTGAGGGGGTTATGTGCTGCTGCTTCCTACTGGTGAGCCAGTGCATATTGCTGCCCCATGGGCTTGGGCACAAGTGGAGAAGCAGAATGCTCCATTCAGGCTGCAAGCAGGGCAAGGTCATCTCTTGTTTCTAGCTAGTGGGTGGCTTTAGCAACAGTGCTGTGGTGCTGCCGTGCATGTTCCTCTCCCCGATCCCTCGGGCCACTTTCTGCTGTGACGCTTACCTTTTGGAGGGTAGTTTCCAGGAGGCCTCCTGCACACGTATGGTGGGGGACAAGGGGGTGCTGTGGCCTTCTACTGTGCTGACAGTGCTGGGGTAGCTGGGTGGGCTGGGGAAGCGGCACAAGGCAGTGTTGTTGGCGTTGTTGATGTTGGCATTGGAACCTGACGATGAGTAGCTGCTGGGAGTGAAAGTGGAGTCTACCAGCTTCTCATGAGATGGAGACTCGGTATCTCCCTGGTTGTTGCCAGACTTGTTGATGTGCAAAGGTCGCTGTGTGGTGAATGTCTGGGGGAACGCGCTTCTGCCATCACTTTGGTAATAGCTGACGTGGTTTCCAAACAGGCCTCCCGCTCTCTGTCAAGGAAAGAGAAGCAATTTTCCTTTTACAAGCAAGAAGATTTGCAAGGGGCATTGTATTTGCTGCTGAACCTGTTTGAGGAGGAAAGAAAACACAAAGACGAAATTTTGCACCCTTGCACCACTGCTCATTCTATCAGAAGTCAGACAGCATGGACTTATCTGCCAGAGTGGTCTGGTACAGACACACCAGGAAAGCTTTATCTTTCTGAGGTATTTCCGGGGACTGGCTCTACAGTAATAGAGGGGTGCATATGAGGGGTGCAAAGGTGTCTAAAGCTCCTACCAACTGTAACAACGTGGGAGTGGGTAGGGGTACAAGAATGATGTTACTGCTCTGTAGTCCTCACAGTGCAGCCACATGTGTGTCTACACATAAGAGGGAATTTGAGAAGAGCGCTACGAACTATTAAGCCCCTGGAAGAATGCATGAAGAAGAATTTTCTGTACTAGTTAGATTTTCAATAATGAAAGGGGCAAAGAGTAACTTTTTGTACATATTTGAAGGCGGGAAATGTCAAAGAACATCAGGAAATATTGCAAGAGGAGACAATAAGAAGAAATAGGGATGAACGAAGAAAGAGAAAATTTAGGTAACTTATTCAGAATATTCCCTCCAGGACCATGGAAGCTGTTAGGTTCTGATGCAGTTTTTGAAAGGATTTGGGCCACTGAAAGGAAGCTTGAACAAAACACTGATGTATGCCTGACTCATGCTCTGTGATAGCATTTGAACTGAGCTCTTCTTCAGATTCTTTGGCCATGTCCAGCCATTGTCACTCTGATTTTGTCTAGGTTCTATGTAGGGAAAAAGTCCACTGGAAAGGTAATAAAACCCACATAAGATCATCAGAACCTACCATAACCCTGAATCTACTAGTTTGCTTTTCAGTTTGTTGTAGGAAACGAGACAGAGAGCGCAGCTGAAATAGAGGGTATATAAAACAGCATGTTGCACTTGCTGAGTTAAGCTTCAGGCCTATCCTCAGCATGTGAACCCATTCAGCACCTACCCGGAATATATCATCTTCGGAGGCAGCCGAAACAGCTTCTTTCATGGCCTTATCCAGCTCCTCTTCAGCTGTCAGGTCTCCCGAGATTGCTCGTCGGATCTCTGGCCCGATGTCATGGAGCGTACGCAGACCAGCCTGCAAAACGGCAAACTGTACAGCTTCATATCTCCGAGTGGGCACAGGAGAATGGAAAGCAGTGTTATTTTCTTCCCAAGCACTGTGAGGCCATTTTACCTACTATAGCATCCCCAGATCCTGGTAAAACTGCACCAAATTCTGTTCTCTCATCTCTAACTTAGAGATGGAGAAACTCTCAGCAGTTTGCAAAGAGCTTAGGTGACTTGTTCCCAGCCACACAATCAATTCTGGAGGCACCAACAATTCAACCCAGGAATGCTCATTGCTAGTCGCTTGGTTTCATAACTACAGGACATAGGCATAAATCCACAGGCATGACTGAGCAAGTTTATAAATCCACAGGCATGACTGGGCAAGTTTATAAATCCACAGGCATGACTGGGCAAGTTTCTGTGCATTCATCCTTAGGTTCTCAGATCCACAGCCAGAAACCCTACAGAGCACCTACAGTTCCAGCTGAACCATGTACTGAGTGCCTCTCAAATTCTGTTCTTTTTAGTCAGGAGCTTAAATATGAATTTAACATCTGAACTCCAGGCATCTGGATAGGGACAGTCCTCAAAACTCTTCTTGACTGGAAAGGATACCAGTGAACAAGAGAGGCAGGCCAGGGAGGTATGCTGGGGCTGTGCTCAAACCTCTCTAACTGCACCCTGGCTCTGTATCATGACACATTTTTGTTTGCTGGAACTTCAGTGTCACACTTCTTCCCTAATCTTCAGTGCAAGGGCTGAAATGGCACTGCATGTATAACCAATTGGACTTTGTCATTCTTTTATACAGTCTAGTAGTCTTCATAACAAAATCTATAGCAGAGTGGGTATCAGAATTTGACGTGCTCAACTAGGGACTAGGATGTCTTGGCATATTTCTTACTTTATAACTAGTTTAGTCTCTTGGCAACATATTCTTCCCTTAGCCAGTCACTGTGACTCCCCTCAGAAGGGGTATAATGAACATGGTAATAAATGTCTGCCAGACACTTCATACCAGCTTTCCAAAGGGAGCCTAAATTGCAGCACTATCAGCTGATCGCTAAACCATATAGATAACTCACTTGCATATTTCCCCTCCAGAGCCAGGGTATTATGGCCTGTAAGTGCTTATTCAGAGGGATTGAATTGAAGGTGCCTACAAGTGCCTTTCCAGCAGGGATAACCCCCGGCAGGAAAACCCCAGAAGGGTTGAGAGGGAAGCAGATCCAAATGCCTCAGCCGACCCTCCCGCCGCCCATCCCTGGCCCGTTTTTCACCTGCAGAGAGAGAGCATTGCGCTGGGAGGGCTTGCCCACCAGGCCCTGCTCTTTACGCTTCTTGAACTTCCGGAAATACTCCTGGATGAGGAAGGTGGCATAGAACTTGCCAACGGTCACCTCGTCATCTGAAAAGGGGTATGTCAAAAAAAAAACCCCAAATAAGCAACTGATTTTAAACAGTAAATGTGCTAACACAAGACTTATAGTTCAAAGCAGAAACACCAGACCCCACAGTAGTTCTCTGCTTTTCATGGTGTCAGTACATGGGCCTGAAGTAAGTGATTATTTCACAGCCAGGGCTTACTGGGAGTACTCAGGGGAAGAGGGGCCAATGGCACTTGGATAGACTGCTTCTGCTGACAGAGATCACCTGTGGTTATGTACCCCTGGATGCCCCTTGGTTATGATGAAATATCTCCTAATTTTTACCTCTAGTACTGCTTTACCATATAGGCTTTTGCTATAGCAGCCCCCCAGTCTGGATTAATGCTCTGTCTTATAACAAGCCTGGGTTAAGTGCATACTCAGAGTTTGGGCTCACTCGTGACTTGTGGCAGACCATCTGCCCCAGACACGATCTGACCCTTCTCTGTACTGATACCTTTTTGGGTTGTATCCATGGGTGTAATAGCATCAAAATGGTCACCTCCAATCCCCAGGAATGGAGTCCTTGCTGTCTTTTCACTCAACATAAACTGGCAACGTGCCACTTAGTTTTTATCCTGGTAACCCTCCTCCCTTCTCCAAACCTCCATCCCACTGCATGGGACCACTGGCTCCTGCCAGTGGGTGAAGCAGGACTTCAACAGCTGACTAAAAATGTCAAGTATCTGCCAAAAGCTGTTTTGTGTGACAGCCCCTGGAAGGTCAGTTTAGGTCATACTGCACACATCCTGCCTCCCAAGCTGCCTAGAAGGAAGAATCCATGGGCCTTGTGATTACAACTCATCAGGGATGTGGCGCAGAAACCTTGAACAGTTAGTTCTACCAATTCAGACTGCTTGAGGATTAACCCCAGTTCCATAAGTCTACAAAGCAGAAAATAGTTATGCCACGGAAAAGATAGCTCTGGTAAATACAAAGGGGTTCTGAGGAGGAGCTGCACACTTATCTTGACTGAAAGGACAGTGTTTAATTTTACTAATTAAATCCACACCCTCCCTGGAGCTTTTTAGCTCTGCCTGCTTGCTTTGCTCACAGGAGCCACTGAGCAATGTCCAGGGGAACATGTACCCATGACTGGGGTAAGATCTAGGAATGAAGGTTTATAATTCCTATTTAGAGACACCTTCCTCTTTCTCTGATCTCACAGCAGTCAGAGCATCATATTCTAGTTATTTCTGGCAGAAACAGTTCTCAGCCTGATGAAGTACCCAGCCAAGTAAACGAGTTACAGCTTGAAGAAGAAAGCATGCACCCCATATTCCACCTGATGATCACAAGGTACAGTAGGACACGTTAGGTAGAAGAAGGGACAGAGATTTCACGGACCAGGACAGGTCCCTGCACTCACCACCTGCGGGGGGCACCACCTGGTCCAGCAGCTTCATACTGGTACGTTTCCAGATTTTTTTAATTATTGCTCTCAGCTCTTCATTGGCTTGCTCCAAGTTACCTGCAGGGTGAAAATCAGCAGAGACAGAATCAAGCCAGGCCCTGCAGAGGAGAAATTTCACATGTCTAGCACAGCAATTTGAGGAGGAAAATTGTAGAGCTTTTTGAACAGTAGAAGGTTTTGCGCAAAGATAACTCTGACCATGGCTAAAGTTCCTCACAGCAAGAGGCCTTCTTCCTATCATCTCATTCTATCCCATATCATCTAAGGGTAGGAAAGTGACTGGCGTATGCTGATACTGCGTTACTGTTTGCATCCAGTAGCCAGAAACAACAGAACAGCAGTGCTACTTGGTCCTAAAAAGCAGCAACTGCACTCAACAATTCCACATCTTAGTTGAGATCTCAGGAAGGTTAAATATGATGATAATAAAAGTCTGTTACCAGAACACTGCTGTCCAGGGAAGACAAATAATTGGTGGTAAAAGTGCAGATGGAGCCCTGAAGATGTGGGTTTGCTCTCAGTCCTTCCCAGGAGTTCCTCGGTGCTTCCCTGTACCTCAGCCTATGCCAGCTTCTTCACAAGTGCCAAGAGTCTGTCCTGGAGAGAGCCTGTGCAGTGCTCTGAGAAGGCACTCGGAGAATCTGTAAAGCCTTCACTATCTGACACACAGGACAGTCTCAGGATATTCTTGTTTACTCTCTGAGGAACAGTATTGGAGGTAACAAGCCTTTTATGCTACTGTTTAAACTTATAAATGACTTGTTTTCTCCCAGAAGCTTTTTGCTGGTGAGGCACTAGGCCAGACACACCACATCTCTGAGAGCAGAGAAGACTCAGTTCATGTCCTTTCCTTCTAGGTATCTTTTTCATTTCAAGCTGCTTCATTTTAATTTCTTGATTTATGTACTTTCAAATCCCTTATGCTTGAAGGGCTCTCTTTAGCAGGTATGCTAAACCACTGTCTTCTCCCCCCAAATCTCCTGTTCCTGCAGCTGTCCCTATAGCACCCCAAAGTCCTCGGTGAACTTCACAGGGCTCTGCATGCCAATAGCTCTGCTAATATGATGAAGAAAAAATGGGGAGACTATGTATATTGCTGAGGATGAAACAACTGGATGGCATCAAAGTAAGAAATTTGACTCAGGAGAGCTGATTCCCAACTCTTGCCCTAACTACTTATAAGATGCTATTAATTCCAGAAGGGAAGCAGTTTGACACTTCATATGGTTTTATGGGGATCACTGGCAATGAGTCACAGTTGGAGGATGAGACAGAAGATCAAGTGCCTTTTGGGCCTCACTTTCATCTAAGACACAGGATGTGCTGCAGAGGTTGAGGCTGATTTTTTATCTTTTTTCCTCAGGAGAGCAACTCTTGCTGCAGTCAAATTCTGCTTAGCACAACATCCAATGCCATAATACAATTTTTAATTTCACCAGCCCCTATTTTTTTGGCTTAGCTATCAGTATAACTCTCACATGGCAAGCTAGGCTTCTCCTGGTCTCTGCTTTCCCCTGCCTAAAATGTATGCAGTCACTCCTGAGGCAAGGTGTTTAGCTGTGAATCACCACTCTACACACTCTTCAAGCTATGCATTTAATAAATGAAGCCAGGTTTAGACTCAGGGCCAATATTTTTCACTACAGCAGCATAATTCAACAATGGTGGCAAGCGGACCCCAAAAACTTCTCTGCTTTCCCCAACTCTATTCGCTGGTCTATGAAAAGATACTAACAGTCCCTATGCCCTTGGCTTCCCATATGTTCCTAGACCTACAACAACATAGCTACTAAATGTTGTGCTAACCTCTGCTAATGGAAACACCTGAGGAATTTTGGTGAGGTGAGACATCTGGTCTATGCTTTGCTGCTTCCCATGGACTGGCAGATCAGTGGTAAAAGTGGTCAAAAAGCTTCATAGTTCTGCAGACAGTTTACTGAAAGGGAAGCTTTGCCCCTCTTCCTTCCTCTGATTTGACCAAATAGTAGGTTTGAAGCTTATAAATTCCAGACTGTCATAAAAAGCATGATCTGTAATCTATGATGATACCATGGGAAGAAACAGCTTTCTGGATAACACCCAGCTAGAAACACTGTTCTCTCCCTAGAAGTCATTATTCTTCCATATACATTTACTTAGTTTTTTGTATTATGTGCTGCATATCAATATAACTGGAAAGCTTGCAAAAAACTGGAAGACTTTTACACAGTATGTCATTGTGTTGCATTCCAGCTCAGCACTTGTTGCACAGTCATCATTCAGGTACCCTTGCAGTCGATAAGGTTATTCCTACCTTCTGTCTTTATCCTCAGTGCTGTTCTGACCAGTGCAAAGAGAGTAGCATTGAACATGACAGTCCCATCACTATTCAGTGGCATATTCATGGAGACAAGGCGCTGTGGAGTAAAGAGAAAAAACAGAACAATCATACTGACAACATATGGCTTGAAAAGGCTTGAAAAGTGCTCTCTCTTTGCTCTTACAATGCCCTCCAGAACCTCTGTCCCTCTCACCTGTGCATCCATGGCCTGCAGATCTGGTTAAACAATTATAAAAGGACTTTTTGCATCCACCACTTGTCCCAGCCATGGCATAAGTTTGCCCTGTGGTCTCTCTTCCTTTGCTAGGTATTTTTTTTTCCTTCAATATGGGTATCACTTTCCAGCCCTTGTTTTCCCCAGTGGCTAAGGGGCATTTGCCCATGGTGCCTTTTGCAGAGAGAAGTTTATGCCTGTTCTCAAAGTTGTCTTTTAAATGACACCTTTCATTCTGACCAGGAGCAAACTGCTTTCTTCACGTCTCATGAGGCACTTCACAATTTTGCAAACTCCTCTGCACTAAAGCTATGTCTGGTGCAAATGTATTCAAACAGAGAACCATTATCTTTCACTGAAATAGCTGACAGGCTTGAACAAAGTGGGCCAGCCGAACCTGGAAACTTGTCTGTTTTCTCCAGCTCTGCCCCTCTTCCTTGCACAGTAAGGCTGCTTCTGCCTTGCAGTCATTTTGCAAAGCCATGTGGCACAGAAGCTGAGTGCCAAGGACTGGTACAGCCGCAGGGGGAACTTCTGTGAGACTAACATCTGTCTGAGGTAAAACTTAGTAAAGTTTTACTTACTAAAGCAAAGTCACCAGATCTTAGATCCATACTTCTGTCTCAGGAGGTAAAGGACATCAAAGACTTGGTTTGCGATTTAAGGGGTTGATTTCATTAGAGCCCTCTCTGCTGCCATTTTCATGCCATGGGCCTGGTTCAGTACCAAATTGGAGGTTGTTGTTCCCTGTCACTACCACTGCTCTCATGGACTGTGGGACTTGAAGCAGATTGCTTAGATTGACATAAGAGAGATCAAATAACTAGACTGAAACGGATAGGCAGCAGGCTGCAGAAGACATGTATTTCTGTGCAGAGACCCCAGCATTTGTGCATTGCTCTGAGATTGATAGAAACCACCTACAAAAGTCACATACAAACTCACACTTGTGAGGTGATGAACGAAGAAGCTCAAGGGAAGGAAACACAAACATTATAAACATGTCATTGACTAGAGTTAGTTTGTTTTGATAGCCGAAATCTTGCAACTAAAGAAATTAATAAGGTATTTTCACTGAAAATCTGTCCCTGCACTTCCTTTATTTTAATATTCTCTTCAGTTTCTCTAAGTTATTGAAGAGAGAACAGGAGGTAATATTAGGCTTCTGGTAGACTACTTTGTAGAAAGAAAATCTTGAAGATATTTTGACTTGCCCTGTTATCCATCCTAATCTGGCTTTTTGGTACGTGTGTCTGATACCACAAACACATGGAGCTGATACCATGCTTGATATTAGAGAGGCGGAGTGATATGCAGGCTGTCCTCGCTAGAGACAGGGCTGACACAGCTAATGGTGCATTTGTGTCACTCACTAGAGGAGCACCTGCCTGTCACAGAGCAGAGGACCCTGTCACAGGTTATTTCGAGTCCAAAAGAGTAGGGGAGTGGGGCAGAGTGGAAACAGGCTGGGGTCAAATACACACTATTTTCAGCTTTCCATCACCTCGTGCAGCACATACCACCTTGTGCACTGCTGCTCCTGTCCCAACCTGGCTCTCCGAGAGAATATCCCTAAGCCTCTATGGATGCTTCACACTTTTAGGGCTACTGGGTCTTGCCAGGGGGCTGTGCTGTGCACCAGGCAGCAGCAACCTGCCTAGCAGCCAGGAGGGAAGCACGAGGCTCTGTGTCGGCACTGCTTCGATCTTAATACTCAGGACTACTGATAGAAGGGCCCTGCTTGGTATTTTGCTGCTTCTGACTCCCAGCCTTCCCTTAAACCATACTTTGCCAGCCTTACTTTGCAAGCCACTCGATGAGGACAGAGCTTCCCAAAGCCCAGGGGTGGCTGAATCCGCCGGAGCAGTGTCACCACATCCAAATGCTTGATCCGTCCCCTGAGGAAAAAAGCAAGATGAGGGTTGCATCCTTAACACATGGTAACCTGCTGATTCATCTGCAGAGTGCAGATGCAGCCAGAGGGATCACCGAGATCTTTCCAGACCCACACTGCCAAGTCTCTGTATCCTAGTATTTCAGACCTCCGTGCATTCCTCTGGATTTGCCCACTCACATAACTCCTACTAGCACAGAAAACACGGTAGTCAGCCAAACACAAGTCAACACCTGCATGAATTAAGTTTTCTGCCTGCTGCAGGGGCAAAGTGCACAGACTGACATTTCAGGGTTGTCTCCCCACCTCAGAACTATTCTAAATCTGTGGCTGCTTTTGCACCTGCTGGCCTTAGGGCTGTAACACTTATAAAGTGCACAGGGTTTCCTTTTTTTCTTGGTGCTTTACCTCCCAGACAAACAGCCCTGAGGCACTATCTTTTGATTCTTGTTTATGCTTCCGGCTGTCACTGGAGCCAGTGGGAAATGAAGTCTTGAACTGCCTCTATAAACACACATAGAGAGCAGCAACTTGATTTCTTTCAAGTTTTGTAAATGGCTTCTCAAAAGGAGAATTCTCTCAGGGTGAGATGAGAGCCAGCAGAGCCAGAGCTGGAGCTTCACACATGGGACATTCATAAGGAAAAGGAAAAAAAAAGGCACATTTATGGATGGGAAGAAACCAGATGTTGTCTGATGTGAAGGGTTATCTGTTTTATGACTCCAGCCACTGTAGTTTTGTCTTCAAACAAGCACAAATACTAGCGTATGTGTTGTTAGTAAACAATGTACTTATAAAGATGTTCTGCTTATTGTCTATTGATTTTTTTTTTCTGGACAGTCACTGTAGATGTGAAGAAAGGTTCCCAGTCTCACATCCTGTAGAGCCTGAGCCCAAATTAATCTTGAGATTATGTCTACAGATCTGGAGCCAGAGAGATCTGCTTTTAGTTTATACTAAAAGATCTCTTATTACACTCAGATCTTTCCACAGTTTTTGCATTATTAAGGAGGTTTTACAATTGCAATTGTCATTTACATTATAATGCCACAGGGATTTATATGTACTTTAAGCCTAAGCATGCATCAAAGAGAACATGTACTAACAGATGTCAGTTAAGCTCCTGGGTGACTTAGTCTTGTTATTCTTGTGTAACTTTAAATCTCTCCAAGTCTGCTGATGTGAATAACCCTGCAGACCATGTAATGCAGTCATGTGAAGGTACAAGCTGTGATGACATGTTACAAAATGGAGATGTTGAGCACAGCAGCTCTACAGTGAGCAGAAAGTCAAATAGAAGATTCCCAGCTTGGATCCAATACACCCCCACCACATGCCACAATAGAACAACTCTCACTTCCTTTGAATTCCCTACTCTGTCCTCCCTAAAAAAAATGAATCTGATCGAAGGTGAAGCAATGCCCTGGCAGCTAAAAATGCAGCCTAGATGTTGAGACTTCTGTGTGTATTCTATCTCTGCTGGTCCCTGGATGGAGCAGCAATACCTTGTGGAGATATCTATTTTATGATTTTTGCAGAAAATGTCCCTACAGGAGAAACATAGCACTGGCTGCAGTGGGTTTAGAAACTGGAAGATAAAAGACCCGTTCTCCTGAGAAGTACTGGTATTCCTGGTGGGTTACTTACTTGGCTTCAGGGTCATACTCTGCCCAGATCCTTTTAAACTCATCCAAGTGGTGTGGTCCTAAAATGGACCAGTCTCGTGTCAGGTAATCAAAGTTATCCATAATAACAGCTACAAAAAGGTTGATGATCTGCAAGCAAGGACAGAGATGATTTGGTGGATTAGGCAGCTAACAGCAGACATCATGAGGTTCCCAGTTTAAAGTCTGAACTTTAACTCATAAAATTGGGAAGCTATTTGTGTGTGTGTGGGGGGGGGATGGATCTCTGTTCCCCCATGACAGCTCCCCAGTTTAAACAAGAACATCCTAGAAGCAGGATATTCTCAGCTGATCATACCTTTCTCCTCCCAAATGAATGGATTTGGCTCAAGTTTGTTGCTTTCTTAGCCAGGTCGTTATGGCCTTTTATTTGTCCACGGTTTTTCCCAGAAGGATGCGATAACTGTGGGGGAACCTGGGATTTCTTCTCTAAAAGCAGGGGGGCTGCTTTTAGAGTCCTTTTTCCTGGCCCAGGACCAAGCCTTTTAAAATGCTGCTGTTCAGAGGGAGAGTTTTGCACACTGATGCCAGCTGCAGAGCATGTGCTGAAGTGCTCTGCGCAACGCTGCACTGCCAGCACCCAACAGATGCAAGTGGGATATGTGTATTCTCACAGTGATTGCTGCTGGCAGGGGAGGCAAAACCTGCTCAGCAGGCAGAAGGAAGGTAGGCGGGAAGGTGGGAAGTGTGGCCGAGGCGTTGCTAGCCTCAGCACAGCCCACAACACGCTGATTTGGTTTTCTGGTCGAGGGGGAGTTGGAAGAGCACTCCTTTGCAGTGCACAAAGGGCTGCGACTGGAAGCACAGCATTCCCCAGAACTCTAAGGAGAGGCAGGAGTTGCAGTGATCAAGGGAGTACTGTCATTGGAAAGACGTGAGGGAGAGATCCCATATCTTTCAGATGATTTTTCTGCACTGAGGCCTGGGAAGGCTGGGGCTCAGTCTGACACGAGACTGTTAAGCTGCCAGTAGGGACTCACCAGGAAGGCACAGAGCATGTAGAAGCTGATGAAGTAGAAGACGGCGAAGCTGCTCCCACAGGAGTGATCGGCCTCCGTGGAGTTGGCCGGTTCCGACTCCGGGTCACACTTCTTGTCTGGGAGGCACGCCAGCATGATTTCCTGCCAGGCCTCACCGGTGGCACACCTGGGCACAGCACAGGGAAAAGCAAGTCAACAGTCACCTTGGATGTGAGAGAGGACAGGCTGGTACATGAGCAAGCTGCTCCCAGGACATTAATGGCAATTTTACCACGAAGGTCAATTAAGAGCAAGTTAGGCTGATCAGGATCAGGCTGTGACATACACTGGCATATCCCACTGCTCCCTCTGGCTTTGTTGCCATTGTCAATGTGTCGTTCTTTAACCTGTCCAGTCTGGATATAGGACTGTCACACTCCAACATGACAGCGTGAGGGCAACTCATGTGACGTGGCTATGGATTACATGACGGTAAATGCCAGGGGAGATCTCATATCTCTGATTTTAGTTCCCCTTCTTTCCCTTGCAAACATGAGGAGAATACTCAATTCCTGCCAACTCCCAACCCTTCTCTCCCCTCTTTTCAGCACCTTTACCTGGTCCTGGTACACGTGGCCACAAGTGGAGCATGATGGCAGGCTAAGCTAAGTAAGGTATGGCCATGTGAAGGCACATGCAGGGTTCCTGTCCCTTTCCCTGCTACAAGCCACAGGTCATACTGGCTGGATTTCAAAGAAAGGAGCATTTGATGGAACTGAATACTTGGCCACCCTCCTCTTCAGTAGGAGGACTTGCCTTGCTCCAGGTACATCACAAGTTGGCTGGTGTCAGCTGATGTATGTGAAGGTCAACAGACCAGTCATTTCATCTGCCATAACCCCAGGACTCCCCTACTAAGGGACAGCATGTTTCTACTCACCTCGTGAGCATGACACGATAGGAGCAGATAAGCTGCGTCCAACAGCAAAGAAACAGCACTCCCAGACTGACACTATCCAGAACTGTCAGACACCCACCTGAAAAGCAGCAGCACTGCCTGGGGGAAGGTCTGGAAGTTGTTGTTGCGGTTGATTTCTGTGGTATCATTCAGCGCAATTTTACCAAACACCTGGCAGAAAGCAGAGGTCTTTTCAGGTTAGCTTTGCAAAAACCCCAAACCTCTTTTCACTTGTAGCTCTTCATTTCACTCTCACTCAGGGGAATCTGATATATAATGGGATCTGCTTGTCACTTACAGACCATTTCCACTGGCTTTCATATTTGCTGTTTCCCTGCTTGGGTTTTATCATCAGAAAAGCACTCACAGTGTAGCAAGAAGATATAACTTCCTTATATCATATATGGTGAAAAGGTGACAGTGAGTCTTATTTAACAAGCACTTATAGGGCAAGGAGGTCCAGCTGAAAAAAGTTAACACAGAAAAAAAGCTCCTTCCTTCCTTGCTTATCTGTCTTCACCAGGAAGAAATCACAGCAAATGCCCATCAGCTGCAAAGCCTCGAGCTTCCAACTCTGTGGGATGCCTTGTGTCTTCTAAAACAATGCAAATAAATTGCCTTGGATCTGGAGATTATCCAGATGTCTGTGCCTCTAGCAACCATGGTTCTCACCCCTGAGAATGCAGCAGTGCAAAGATGATGACTAGATTTGCCCAGAGAAAAAGAGAATGGATCAACTCAAAAACAAACAAACAAACAGCCCCCCCCCCCAAAAAAAAAAAAAAAAACAAACAAGAGAGGAAATCAGGGACAAAGATTTAGTGATGTAAAGAAAAGAGGCATATGAAGGAGAAGGCCTATCTTAAAAGCCTCATAAAGCAGCTGAAAGCAGTGGGCCTGCCCTGTGGAACAGAAGCAGGCTAGCAGCTTGTGCACTGATTTGGGGTTCTCTGCAAAGACAACACTTTTACAGAGAATTATAGGGCCTCGGGGAATTTGGTCTCAGGTCCAAAGGGATGGTAACAATTTAAGGCACTGTATACGACAAATTTCGCTTCACTCTTTACTTCAACAGCTGTGCATCGAGGCAATTCTCGGCACAAAGCTATTTCAATCTACTTGGGGTTATCTGTGCCCTATCCCTCAACTATTCCAAGTTTTAATTTAGAATCTAGCAGCCCTTTCCTTAAATCCACAAAAAGGGTTTACAGTTTCCTTCCATGCCCAGCCAACCACTGCTGCATCAAGTACAGTTCACCCAGTCACTGGACAAAGCTTTCAATGATGAGCAAACCTTCTGGCAGCCTGAGATGTAAAGGCCTCAGTGTAGGAGGGTTTGGGGCATCTTTAAGAAAGCCTTTTATCACTTTTGTATTTATGGGTGTTGAGACTAAGAGCTTAACAAGCCTTGCCTGGCAGAAAGGTCTCCGTACAAAATAATCAGGACTATTTATTCCCCATGGATAGCAACATGACAGAGATCTCAAGGACTGAGAGCTGTAATCTCACAGCCAAAATGAGCAGCAGGAACACAGCAGCCCCGAGAAAACACGGAGCTTCTTTTCAAGCAAATGTCACCAGTAATTAGCACTCCAAGACAAATAACAAGGTGGAGTGAAGCACAGGGACAATGATGGGGAGGCCATTCCAGACAGGAGGGAGTGTCTGTATGCAGACTTTCTGCAGGGGTTGTTCTTGGATATATGGGCCTTCCCCAGCCCCACTTGGTAGTAGTGACAATCCCAGCTGCATTAAGGAGGAGCAGGATGACAGTTTAAATGCTCAGAGGCAGCTTGAGCTGAGGCAGCCCATGCTTTCCGTTTCAGGCAAGCGTAGACACGACAGCTTCCCATGCTGGAAGTCTGTGATCGTCCTTTTGACCCTGCAGTTTCCCTCACACAAGACGCACTGGCAACAGCTACTGCAGGTGTTTAGCATTGGACAGCCATGAAGCAGGTAGCAGTTCCTCTTGCTTGATGTCTTCAATCCGTGCCTCTTGGACCATTGCATTAATAACTTCATCCATCAGCATCAATTTGCCCTTGAGCATATCAGGTTGCAAAGCTTGAATGTTGTTCTACTCCATGTCAGGGGAGCAGCTGAGATAAAGTGGTAGGTCTCCTTTACGGGGGAAATTCTTATGTTGACATCAGATCTGGCACATCCAGGTATTCAAGAGCGCTGCTTAAGAGACTCAGAAAGGATCTTTCTTCCTATGTGTCCCTATGTTTTAAGGAACTTTATGTTTCACTAGGTTCAAGAGAGCAATATACCAAATATCTGAAATACTACAAGGACAAAAAGTGATGATAATGGGTCTTTATACTCTAAGTAATGAGGGAAGGTTGAGAATTCCTGTTTTTGTCAATGAAAGGGTGTTTGAAAGTGATCTAGTAAACTATGATGTAATGTAGTTCAACACGAACGAGAGCTGTATGACCTTCAGGCTGCTGAAAGGGTTAAAACAGAGCTTTAAATCTAAACTCAGAATTAAAGAGCCAACTTAAAACCAGTTCACAGAGAAGGCAGCAGAATTACAGAATCATATATCTAGCCTTGGTAGTGATAGGAGCATTAGAGACCGAAAGTGGATAGGTGCTTGGAAGCCACCTTTAATGCTTTCTGTAGCTACATAACATCAACATAATACTCTCAGTGATTTTCTACATGGCAGAGGTAATCCTGTCAACATCTTGGCCATTCGAGCTAGTTAGGTATCAAAGGCAAAACTGACAGATTTAAATTGAGTATCTGGTAGATTAAACGACAGCTGCAGTTACTGGGGCTAAAGGAACCTAATCTACAATAATTCAAGAAATTATCAGTTTCATTTTTCAAACTGCAGAAGAATAAATGGGAGTCTGTAAAAAGATGTGATTATAACAACATGAAACAAAAAATGATCACAGAGGTCAAATGCATTTTGTTACAAATTCTGTCTGAATTGTAAACTCAAGAAGGTTGTCATATTTAAAGACCCCTGGAAGTAATTATATAATGCCTTTCTATACTTGGATCGCTGGTCCCGAATGGCTGACTTCTCTGAGATGTCTGATTAACACAGGAGTGGAAAGTGAAGCGTAGTTTGAAAAGCAGCACAGTAAATGAGGCTAGGACTGTCACAAACTGTGCCTACATCACATGCTTTCTTCAATAGTCTGCATGCAACATCAGCTCCTTGCACAGATGAATGCTCAGGCTGCTTCCAAGTTCATTTATGCAACTGAATAGGATATTGTATTGATGCGGCTTCCTGAAAAATTGGCATAAACATAGAGAGCTGGTACACTGGGTCTGATCCCATATTTGCTCTCACGGGTGTAAAGCAAAAGCTGTTCTTTACATCTCAATGGAATTACACCAGTGCAAAAGTGACGTGAGAGAAAAATGAGGTTTGTTCAGTGTGGCATGGCCATGAGCCCCCTGAAACAACTGCTTTGAAGAGCAAACCAGTAAATGACCTTTGCAACAGCAGCTGTTTATTCCTTTGGGAGTGTGGAGGGCTGGCATGTAGCTTTTACTGTCTTACTGTGCTTTAATATGAAATAGGGTTCATTTGGGATCTGCAGGTGTGCACTGTGTTCCTGCCCAAAGCCCATACACACACAGTTTGCCAGTCAAGGTAAGCCACCCTGTTACATTACCGGGACAAAACACTTCCCCAGTGACTTCCCCTGTTAGAGACAGTTGAGCTTCTTAGTATCACTTACCTGCATCCCGATCACGGCGTAGATGAAGAACAACATCACTATTAAAAGAGCCACATAGGGAAGAGCCTAGAAATGGGGAAAAAAAATAAAAAGAGAGAGAGAGAGAGAGAGAGAAAGAGCACTATGTCTCCATTGAGCTTGGCACACCAGAGCCTGGCTTTGACAAGGTAGGCTGAGGCAGCGCCAAGGCTTGGAGTCTGTAATTCAGGCGGGCGGCCACTAGATGCCTGTCTAGGCCCATGTTCTCCTGTCCTCCTCCCTGGTGCCACCCAGCACAGCGAGGCGCTGCCCCTGCTCCCACCCGTGGTGTCCTGGCTCTGCCTCCCTGGGATCGGCGCTGCCCGGGACACAGCGGGGAAACGGCTGGCACGGGCACCATGCACAGCTCCTGCCAGTGGGAGAGAAGGGCGGCCATCGGCACCGCTCCCTGACTAACGGCAATGACTCGCCTGTGATTTTTTCCGCATCCAATCTGTTGGAATGAAAAATGCGACAGCTGTCAAGATCCAAGTTCAAGGCTTCTCCTACAACGGCTGGCACCATCCTAAATGCTCACAGCAGAACCTGGTTTGCTCCCGGTTCAGCATTAGATGCTTGTGGTGGTGTCTCTAATGCTCGAGGTGCCTGTGAGGAGCTGCTGAAGAGGGAATGCAGAGCCCTGACAGGCAGTGCTGGCTTGCAAGGAAGAGGCCAGGGCAATCAGCAGTGTTGAGTGCTATCAGTTCCCTCCACCACCAGCAGGAATGAAGGACACAACTCTGGACCTCACAAGCTTGGGCTTTCCAGAAGGAATTTTCTACACTGTTCCTTTCAAAATATATTGTGCTCTGACCAGGGATTTTCAGACCTTACTTTAGAGGAGATGCATAGTCATATTCATCCTGAAAATGTCAGTACACTTCCTAGTCTTGATGTTGAACATCCTGCTTCATGGAAAATCAAATGCTCACAATATTAATTTTGGTTGTATTTGAAATTAATTACACATTTCAAGTTTATGTTAAATTTCAATAGGGTTAAGTTCCACAGGAAGATTTCTGGAAGATTTTTTCAATGACAACCGTGTGGATTTGACCAAGGCCTGCAGAAATTGCCTCAAAGGAATTTGAATGTTATGATGCCCCAAATTTAAACCTTTGAACACTGTCTACAATCATCTTAAGACTCCCAGATTCCTCTAGGTTTTATGGGATCCAACAAATCATGTCCCACAAGGCAGACATGCCAGAACAGAGTTTGGCTGACGGTCACATACATTTTGTCACTGTTCACCCTGGGCAGAGTCACAGAGGACCTCAGCAGAGCTCCTGGGATAGTGCCCAGACAGAACATAAAGAGCATAACCTTCAGAGTTCACCCGGCTTTCACAAAGTGACTCTTAAGATTATCATCCTTCCTGGCCCTTTACTTTCCTCCCATTTTTTTTCTGCTCACTCAGCCCATTCCTCTCTATTGATGTATCTTCTTACTCATCTCTGCCCCTTATTTCCTATGTGTCGTTCAGTTCACCATCTCCCATATTCCACTCTTCTAACTCTGTCCTCCTTCATCTCTGCCTTTCTCTGGTTTTACCACTTGTCCTTTCCATTCCCACGGCCTTGCCTTGCTCTCGGCACCCCTCTCACTTCCTTCTCCTCCCACCCGCCAGTCTGGTCTCTGTCGCCGACTCTCCAGGCTCCGGGAACCCCACTGAGCATTTTTCCCACCACACACTCCCCTGACCAGTGCCCTAAGTTGTCCATGATGTGGACTGCACATCATGCTCTGGGCACTCAGTAGTTGTGATGGGATCTGAACTCCTGCACCAAGTTCACTGCTTGTTAAGCTGTCCTGTGAGAGGAAACACACTTCCTGGAAGCACGTGGGGACACAGAGAAAAGCCTCTGCCAGACAAAAATGTCCACAGGGATCCCAAATTTTGACAGTGGGAGTGGCTGACTTCTTAAGAAGTGGCTATTCTTAGTTATGAAAGTAACCTAGCACTAGTTGCAAGAGGAGGAGCTCTCTGCAGAGAAGAGCATGTTATAAACAGTTAGAGGCTTTTACGGGAAAGGGCACTTGCTCACAGTGCTTTTTCTCTCCGCTTCATGGAAGATATTGTCTCCCTTGATATTGTCTCCTACCACCCCATAGCCTTGCCTATGAGACTGACTCTCCAAACAAAGAGGTCCAAAGGTGACTGAAGGGAAGCACCAGGCAAATCTTTCCCATCCATCTCCAGCCAAGAGCTGGGGTAAGTGGAGCTGGTTCCAACTTGCTAGCTGGTGAAGTTTAAGTTTTAAAGTTTGGATCAGTTTCTTTACCATGTGAGTCCGTAAAAATGCTATCAATCATTTTAAGTCTGAATTTGGGAATATCTGATGACTCTTTTATGACTTCTGTGTTTGCAAGTTACTCTTTTATGCTTTTGCCCCATCCTGCATCTTTTCTTATGTTCAGACCTCCATTTGTATTACTGTGCTGTGTTCTCTCTGCCACTACTTCCACTAACATCTAGCTTGTGCTAGCCTGGTAAGTACAGGTCAAATATCTTTAAAATGTAGAAACATGCCACTCTTCATCTCTAGCTACCATTTTTCCATACATCGCTCCAATAATGGATGGTTTGAAAGCAGTTCCAGTGAGCAGGTTTCTCTTTGTGTTTGTTTACCACAGAAGGGATAACTCTTAACCACTCTGTTGTCCTTCCCTTGTCTACTCTGATACTTTACCTACCACCAAAGTACAGCTGTCTCCAGGGTAGAAACACTGGTAATTTAATAGCTTGGCATTGTTCTCAAGGCCAAAAGCGTAGGGCAGAAAAGATGAAATTCTTCCTGAATGAAGCACAGAGGTCACATACCTCTAATACTCACTGGTAATCCTCAAAACAAGGCTTAAGAGAAATTTAATTGAGACCCAAGCTTTCCCCTCAGATGTGAATTTCACCTACAATAACAGGTATTTTCAACTAAAATGGAAAAAAGATCAACAGGGTTACCGTCTGTAATTGAGTGGAACTGACTTATCAAGGCTGTTCAGGAAGGTCTCAAGCACTTACTCATGCTTTAAAGATGAAACTCATACCCATACAGTCATCCACCATGAACAGGTTACTTCAGTAGCATTCAAGCCATATGCCGCCTTTATACACAGGACTCATGTGCATCCTTGGCACTCAGGTGCTTCCACTTATGGGAAACCCCTCTTTGAGGGGCAAAAAAAAAAGGTAACAAGAATTAGACATTCCATAAATATTTATAGACAAGTAAAGGAGTACCTGGAAGGACTTGATGAAGGTCCAAAGCAGCGTCCGGATGCCCTCCCCTCGGCTCAGGAGCTTCACAAGACGCATCACGCGGAAGAGTCGGAAGAAGGTGATTGAGATGCGAGAGTTTTCCTCTGCGTTCTGGAAGCCATTGGCACAGAGGCAGGAGTTACAACAGCACGGGGAGAACAAAGGCCCTGGGTCACAGAGAACACTATGCCGAGAGCTCACTGCACTGTTCCTGGTCCTGGGCACACTCCCCGCTGTTGTGCTGCCCCAGCACCTCAGGGACAGATGGATACTGGCCTGGCATGCCCTATCTCCCATGCTAGTGATGCTGCTTTGTGGGGGCTTTCAAGACCATCAGCATCTCCACTGAAGATGCTTGGACTTTCAGTGGTCAGGGATCATTTATGCTCCACTTTGTCATTGTGTTGGTGAGATGCCACTCTACTTTGATACTGTGCTGGAGAAGAAAGACACTGTCTCTTTGGATCTGTCTCTGAAGCTACCACAGCAGAAACCTCAGCCAGCAGCCCTCGTGAGCCTGGTGCCATGGATCAGACACGTGTAGCTGGCTTTGTTGGGAAACAGCAGCAGGTCCCAACTCTGCTTTGGCATGTGAAGCCCTGCAAGGGCCCAGCATGTGTTGCCCCAGCTCAGCTGCTGGCGTTCCTTGTATCTCTGACAGCCCTGCTGCTCCCGAGCTCCTGGGTGCGGAGCTGTGCTTGCTGGTCCCGCTGCTCTGCGTTCAGCCCTTTCGCATTTCTCATGACCCCTCTGTATTTCCCACAGCCTGTGCACTGCCTTTTTTTCCTTTTTTTTTTTCTTTAAAAAAAAAAAGAACATCATTTTATTTTGGCTTCACTGCTACTGTTCAGGCGTGCAGTATTTTTATATATATATTTTTTTCTGGCCTGTTTTTCTCACAGCATCTGCTTTGTCCCTAAGCGTTTTCCCCTGGGCCTGTAACCGGCTTTGACATTCCTCAGACTTCACACATGTGAAGGCAACAGATTTCTGAATGCCGAGTTGTCAGCAGGCTTACCTGGCCTCTGGGAGGAACCTGCTGTCTAGCTCGAGAGGAGGCAAGGCGCACAAAATGCGATGCGGCCCCCAGGCCATTTGCCCCCTAAAATACTGTGCCAAGTCTGGGGAGCTGCTGGCTGCCACTGGAAGCACTGTGGGAATGGAGCCTATCCCAAATCCATCCACCCTCCAAAGTCTAGAGTTGGAGTCTAAGCCCCAAACGAGCAACGTTTTAGGACGAGGAAACAGTGCAGATCACCCCTGCTGTTAACTACTCACCACTGTGTAAACCAAGAGAGAACAGACCCTTTGGATTTCCTGTCACAGCGCAACAAAGCCAGCATCGGCCTGTGTTCCTACTTAAAAAAATCCAAGGTGTCGAAACTGCCCGGATGCCTCTCTCTGGGATTCAAAGTCAGCGTGTGCAGATGGGAGCATGCACCGGTGCTGCACGGTTGCTCCTGTTTGCAGCCCGTGCTGTGCAGATCCCTGCTCAGCTTTGCTGGCTCCGCAGCCCCGTCTCTGCCCTGCTGCCTGTCAGGCAGCGGCAGTGTTGCACAGTGGCTGTAGCTGCTTGCTGCTTTTCTGTGCACAAGTGAGACTGCCTCGCTCAGGAAAACACAGCAGCACGTTCAGCATTTCAGGACTGCACCAAAGCTGCAGTCTGATTCCGTCTGCGAGACACTGGTAGGTATTTTGGGTATCTTCCTTCCATGTACCACAGAGGTTGATGCTAGCTGCCCAAGCAGTTAACAGGGCAGAAAGACTAGGGGAACAGCATAGACCCAGGAACTGCCTGAGTGTTCCCTGAATCATCCTCTTTTATTTTTCTGACCACAGCCTGGGAGCTTCAGTAAATGGGAGGGAATTTTTCTGAAGGAAAGGGAGAGTCTCTAGCCTCTGAGCAATCAAATAAACCCGGCACGCAACGCCTTCAGGACTACAGCTCTAGAGGGCTCACTATAAAGTCACACACCTCTCCCAATCCTACAGAAATTCCTTCCCATTTCTGTAAGCAGTTCAATTCTAATGTCATCTAAAAAAGAGTTGAAGTCCAAATTAAAAAAAAAAAAAAAATGGGTGCATAGCAGTCTTGCTGGAGCTGCACCTAAGAAATAAGGTGCTTGCTTACTTTATCTGTCAGTGCTCTCATGGGCTTGGCTCTTTGGATGACAATGAGATGGGACACTGGTCTGGAAAGGCTTTAGTATTGCATCCTTTTCCTGATAGGAGGCAGGAGCTGAAAGCAGAAAACCAGCCCTACTTCCCTGGGTTAGACAACGTGTATGCAGGGGACAAGGTGGCACAGATTCTACAGTTCCCTGCAATTTACTGCCATTAAACTAGTACTTAGCCAGATCAAACTCAGGCACAAAAAGGCCTGAGGAAGAGTAGGCTTCATTTTAGGGCTAGGTGGCTACAGATTAGCGGCTTTGCTTACTTCTTCCCTGTCTTCATCCAGCCTTTTGACGGCTTTTCTTTGCCAGAGGAGGGAACATTCCTCAAGTGGCAACCCAAGACTGGGCAAGCAGCTCTGTTGGGCTTGTGTGAGAACTGCCTTGTATCGTTACCGTGCATCATTGCACAGCTTATTCTGATGCGCCCAAAGTAAAAACCCTAAATTTACAGACATCAGCTCCTCAAAGAGGAGTTTCTGAGTCCTAATCTTTTCTAGTCTGTAGGCTTGGGCATAAGGTCACACTGCAAAACCATTCAGTGTCACATTGATCCTGAGGGTGTGTTGCTAACAAGAAATCTTATCAGTTCTTGTTCTCTCTTGGTGATTCATTAGAAGGCAGAACAACAGTTAACTTGACCAAAGGAAAGCTCAGAATGCTCAAGAAATACACATGTGCAGCATATTCACAGCTCACGTGAACACCAGACTCACACCAATACACAACATGGCAGCTTCATGCACAAATAACTAGGCTGGGCTTGGAGAGAGAACTCGTGATCAGGGGGAAGAGAATAAAGGAGTGTGTTAGAAAGAGTGTCACAGAAGCTGGGTGGTCTGTATTTTTGGTCTTACCATAGAGGAAGAGCATTGGGTATGTTCAGCTGGCTTTAAAGAAAGGTAGACAGAAATAAGCTGTAATAAGTCTCCAATCAAGAGGCCTAGTAGACTAGGTCCTGGCTAACACAGGAGCAACAAAATGGCAGAGGAGGGCAAATGGGAGTGTGAAAGAAACGCACAAGAGGCTGGGCTCATTCCCTGGGACACACAGGACCAAAGGCGGCCATGGTAGAAGTAGGAACAACTCTCACTGAACTTCAGGTGAGCTGTACCCACTAACACCACATGTGAATTTGACCCAGTAGCAGTGTTGGACATCTGAGAGCCCAGGTAGTGGAAGTACTGATATCATTAAAATGTTTCTGCAGTCTCCACTGTTAGGTTCAATAGAGGTACTGATTTAGCTCTCCAGCTCAGATCCAGGCCGTGTCTGCATAGGGAACAGCCAACTTCCAGTGCATCAGTCTGATTTGTAAACCCTTAACAGCTCAGTACTAAAGCAACACTTTCTATTTATATGTCCCCATTCCCTTACATGTAGTTCTCAGTGATTACACTGTCGTTAATAAAACAATGGGCCGGGACAGTGTAATCATGCTCTTGGCAGCCCTGCAGAACCCTCTGCCAGCTGGGGGAAGCTGGATGGCAAAGTTGTTGTTTAGCTTGCTCTGACTTCGCCCAAGTCCCAGGAAAGCTCCAGGGACCTAATGGATGTGTCCGCTGAGGCTGAGCTGAGTCCCACTCATCCTGGGAACAATCAAACTGCCACAAATACCGTGTCCTTGATTAAATTCTGGGGCCCCTTCCAAACCTGAAGTCAGTTCTAAAAAGCATCCAGGGCAGCAAATACTCTTAGGTGGAAGAAGCAGAATTAAAAATAAGCAAAAACAACTTCACAGGGGGTCCTTCAGTTAAATGGTAGCATAATCCTCCAAGCTCATCCTCTGTTATGTGCCCTAGTTATATGCCAAATGCTCTGTTAAATGCCAAATATCCTACCTTAGCCAAGCTGAAACTGATAAATTTCTTCTTCCCATGGCAGAATTCCCCTCTAGTGCCATGAAGGGCTCCTGCAGCATGTTCCTGCTCTCCCAGCACTCTGCACTAATCTAACCGGCATTGTATTTTTTTTATTACCTAAACAACAACTGTACTTTGGATGCCCAGCCTATTGGGTAATACATACAAATGAGAACGATTATAAACCCAAGCTACACCTGATCACATACTATTGTTTTGGGTTAACTGATTGGTTTGGCATTGTCAGCCCTCATTGCTTTTTCTTCTCCTCTTTCAGGTCTTGTGCTTTCTTTTCAGATCACATACAGGCAAAATATGACTTGAATACCAAATAAGGGAGCAGTGCCCACAAGAGACACTTCTCACCAACCAGGTTAAATTTTGATTTCACGTTGCTGGGCAAACCTCTCCTTTCCAACAGTGACGTTCCGTGTACCACCCCCTTCCAGGTTGTATCAGTTTTGCAAATCATCTTTTTCTAATAACAGCAGAAAGTCACAACCTGCTATTGCTGTATTCCTGGTGGATGGTACAAAGCGGCTGTGATTTGACTGAAGGTACCCAGAAAGTTTCCAGCACCTTTCAGGAATCTGCACCTTTCCTGGCTGACAATGTCAGTGCACCTCAGTGTAGTCTGGTCTGACTGTCTGAGGAAGCCTTGTAAGCTAACATGGAATACTCTATGCTAAGTGTCATTTTGTTATCATTAATATTTTGCCTGAAAGTGAGGATAATAGTAGTGGGACTATAAAAGGCGCCAAGACTGCACTGTTGAAATGGAGGGCTCAATTTTGAGGAGTTGGCAAGGCATTAAAAAACCATGAACCACATGTTCTGAGTATCTCTGGCACTGCTAAGAAAGCAGAGGTTGACTGACTCCTCAGTCATTCCCCTAACTGGCCTATGTTTTAAGATGGGGTCAATTCCAAAATAAATCATATCAGAAACTATAACAATAGCTCAAAAGCAGAATAGGAAAGTTAATGGTGGCAGAAGGTATTTGTACAGGCTGGCACAGTGGGCTGGGGCTCTTGATATGCTTATGTTTATATAGTGGCCTGTGCATGGGTATATAATGACAAGATGGTAAACTGCGGTTGCTAAATACCTTCTTTGATATCCACAAGGGTTTGAAAGAGGAGTCAAATCCCACTATTTTCCACCTTGGCTAAAGAGCCACCAAATGGACCAAGCACAGATATCTGATAATTTGTTGTGAGACTTTCAGCTGTGGTGATTCCTAACTATACTGTAGAAAGATTACTATATATTTCTATATTTTTAGAATCTTTAACTCTGCAAGCTATGCAGCTATATGAATTTTAGTACAAAAACAGGCAGTAGGCACTCAAGAACATACGTCAGTTCACAAGGAAAGAAATCATGGTGATAGGTACTTGCAATTAAAGCCAATGTCTAACTCCCATCTAAATTGGTCAGGATTTACTTCTACAACAATGTCCTACAGAACTATGTACAAAAACAAATTTTCACCTGTATAATATCTTTGAAAAAGCTTTTTGAGAAATGATGCCACTTAAAAGAAGGTGTAAAAGGCTCAGAGCCCTCTCTCAAGCTTACAGCAAATCTCCCCTGCATGTGGTCTAACCTACAAAGAACTTCAGCTATTCCATCCTCTTCCTGTCACCTACTACACAGGTGATATGCACATAATTGAATGAGAAATGACAATATCAGTTCAACCAAGAGATAACGCCCTGAGCAACTTTCATTATAGACAAAAGGGACCCAAGATGACCAGCTCACAAACAAGCCCAGAGCCACATAAAAGTGATACAAAGGAGGATCCCCAGGTTAGGAATGGGAAGTAAAATATCTGAGCAGGTGCTTCTGAAAAAAGGCATTCAACAGCGACAGGCAAAATGGAAAAATGGAACTACCAGGACTTTTTTTTTTTTTTTTTTTTTTTTTTTTTGATATTACCACATTTAAAAGGTAACAGAGATGCTTGGGGGGCAGAAGAGGCCAAGAAACAAAGGTACTGGAAGACCAAATAAAGATTTGGTAGGTGAAAAACTGAGAGAATCCTGAAGCAGGTCTGGAAAGCTCTTCACAATATTGTGGCCCACATGTACCTGACATTTATGGTGTTCTACCTGTGTGGCAAAAATGCCAGTCTTCTATATTGCCACTTTGCTTGAGTTGCTGCTAACCTGTGCATGACCTTTCAGGCTCTACAGACACAAAAATAAAAGGCAGGGCTTTTGTCAGTCACTAAATCAGGATCCTGTGTAGGGAGGACTCCGGGAAAGAAGAGAGCTTCTCAGCAGATAGGCTTAAAATCTCAGAGGCCCCAGCACCAAATCCTGCTGTCTGTGTCGTCAATCAAAGGGTGCTTCTCGGGAAGATGGGAATGAGGCTTCCTGTAAAGACAATGCTACCACGTTCAGGGGAGTTCAGGGAGTATCAGGAGTCTTTTTAATAGCCATCCTGACTGACATATCAAACCTGGCATCTGATCACACGCTCAAGCCAAGGAAATGGTGTTACACAGAGGTAAGAGGATTATTGTGTTGAGGGGCTTTCCACACACTGAATGCTTGGTAAGCTGAGGATAAAGTCTGCACTCCAGGAGAACCAATTTCAGTGTTTCAGTGGTGATATCTAGCAGCCAATATCATAGCATGTTGATGCCTAACATAATCCATTCTGGAATTCTTTATAGGTGACGGCTTAGTTGTCAGAGTGTAATGGGAGTTAAAACACAGGCATAAAGACTAAAAGCTTTTGTACTGTCCTTAATGTATTGAAACTCTTTGAAAAATCCATGGCTTAGGTATCTTCCGGATAGATAAACATTTAAAAGAAAAGAGTAAGCTGAATTAACAGGCAAATTTAAACAAAAGTTTCAGTAAAAAAAGTCCCGAGGAGAGAAACAAGTCCCTCAGGAACACTGGAAATGGAGGATGTACTTTCAGAGGTTTGACTCTCTTGAGATTTTTGGTTAGTTTATTGACAACTACAAGGGCCATTCAGAGAAACAGCACCAAAAAATGTCTGAACTGGAGCTCCATTAGGTTTGTATAGCACAAATTGAATTAATACATCCACAAAGCTTCCCTAACTGCGAGTAAGTATTTTTTAGTATTGTAAGAAGCTTGACTACCATTGAGATATCAATACAGGCAGGTGACAGAAGTCCTCATAGATTTTCCCCCCCTACCTTTGATGGTTTTTAACTTTCTAATAAGATTTCTTCAGTTTGTAGGGAGAAGTCTTTTTGTAGCCCCTCATGAGACAGAATCTAATTATAAAGTTGCAGAGAACTTGGACATGGTTTGATCCGAGGAATCAGTAAGCAGCTGAATATACAGTTATTGTTGACTTAGTCAGTCAGTTGTCTCAGTTATTGCACTCCTACAGTAAAAGTCTTCTAATTTTGCCTGAAAGTCCTACATTTGGGATGAGCGGAATTCTGTGTCTTGAGACTTTGGCACAGTGATATGAGAGAGCATCCTCACATATTTCTCATGAGAAAAAAATGGTTATGTTGCTTATGTTGCTGTTGATGACGAATTATCTCTATTTGTATTTCTCCACTGACTACATGGCTTGTAGATGAAGCTCTTCAAAGACCAGTTGCAGCAGTTGGTTGTTAGTAATGGATGTCTGCTAAGATGTTTGCTTGATTGCTGTCAACATTTGGAAAATGAAAAGCTGCAGATGAAGATGCTATATTTGCTGGAAAGTTCTCCATTGATCTGTTAGCTTTCTAACATGGATGACAGATGTTCATCTAGTGCTTTTTTATGCTCCTTGCAGGAAAGATATTTCAGAAAATCCGCACTGTTTACTTGAGCAGGCTGTATTGTTGTGTAGTTCATTTGCAATTCTAGGACGTCAGTCTTTTGGAGCACAAGTTTTTGGTATCTACAAGTACTATGAGAATCCTATCTACTTTGGTCATACTGCATCACTAGCTCTCTTGGATACAAAACGAATCCGAAGGATGGAAGGAAACATTTTGGGCAAATGACCACATCTTACCAACAATGGTAATATTTTGA